TACAAGCAACAATCCGTCATCCTCGTCCCCAACACCACCCCCGGTGTAACCGTCCACCGCATGCTATCAGTCATGGGTTTCGACGACGCACCCCACGGCCACGGCCACGTGACCTTCGAGAACGTCCGCGTCCCCGCCAGCAACATGGTGCTCGGCGAAGGCCGCGGATTCGAAATCATCCAAGGCCGTCTCGGACCCGGACGTATCCACCACGCCATGCGCAGCATCGGCTCCGCCGAGAAAGCACTAGAATGGTTCCTCGCCCGCATCAACGACGAGCGCAAGAAGCCGTTCGGCGAACTCCTCAACAAACACGGCATCATGCTCGAGCGCGTCGCACGCTCCCGTATCGAAATCGACGCCGCCCGCCTCTCCGTCCTCAACGCCGCCATCAAGATCGACGAAACAAACGCCAAGGGCGCGCTCAAGGAGATCGCCGAAGTCAAAGTGCTCGTCCCCGAGGTCAACCTCAAGGTTATTGACTGGGCCATGCAGGCCTACGGCGGTGCGGGTGTGAGTCAAGATACTCCGCTTGCGCAGATGTGGTCGAGTGGCCGTACGATGAGGATTGTAGATGGGCCGGATGAGGTGCATTTGTTGCAGCTGGGTAAGAACGAGAACAAGAGGGGTCTTGCGCATAAGGCTAGGATCGAGGCGCAGCAGAAGAAGGGTGAGGAGTTGTGCAGACAGTATGGGATTGAGCCGAGGGATCCTTTGTACCTTAACAGGACGAGTGGAGAGGCTAGTAAGTTGTAGATGATCGTGAGATTGTCTAGGTATATTCCATGATGATGCATTTGCACTCAATTTCGTGCGAAGGTTTCGCGATACTGATTGCAGTGATCATAACCGTGTCTCCCAAGTCTTTCCAAACGAGTTGTCGACCGTGCGTAGCTTCCGTTTCTCACGATAAGACTTCGGAATGACATCACCGATAGCCCTTCCTTCTCGACATCAGACCTTGCACAACGAACCTCCATCTTCCACATCATCAATGACACACCCCAAGTACGAGTCATGGACACAATGATTTCCTCCTAGAACCCGCGATCCGCGACACGTACATCGCTGTGCAGAAGTATCAACGCCGCGAGTGCCGACTCCCTTCTAATCGTCCCATAACGCGAGGATTGCAGACGAGGTAGTACAAATGCTTGCTCAATATCCACCCGAGCTGTCGTTGGTCAGCATCAGTCTTGCTGCGGCCTCATTGGTCGGCCTCTCACCTTGCCTGTTGGCGCGTCGTCGCCTCTGGCGCAGCAGACATGCAGCGAGCAGCACGAATATCGGTATGCAGGTCGCGAGAAGAGCGAGGACGGAGATTGTGTTGTCTTTCGACCAAGTCATCGTAACAAATGCGGATTTCAAAGGTCGTCAAGGAAGACACGACAGACGGATTGCTGGTTCATGGAACGCTACTGGTAGTTCTCGCGTGCTGAACATATCTGCTGTGAAAGCAGATTTCGGCCATAGGTTTGCAATTCAGATTTGATGGAATTTACAAAGAAATTCGGATTTAGGGCCGGCATTATCACCTGACCAGGCCTGGGCATTTCGAAATCTGGATTGGACCAGGCTGAGGACGCTCAAATCTGAATTGGACCAGGCTGCGGTTGACGAAATCTGAAATAAGCAGGCGCAGTCGTGACGATGACGTCGAACCAGCCGCACCGGTGAGCTCTCGAAAGCAGATTTGCTGTATGCGCTGTCCCGGCTATCGGAATGATGGCGCTTATTGGCTCAGCGTACATGCGCAGCGTGCATGTGCAGTGTGGCTGAATTCAGATTTCGCCAGGGAAGGCGCCATTCACGTGATGTGATCTTTCACACAATACCTAAGTGCCCCACTGCCAGCCTGGTCCTAAATATTACATCAATCTGCATCTTCGAGATTCATCTCTTGCGAGACGAAGCATTTCGCCAAGTGCGACGATGGCCGAGGAGAAATATGCGCGACGAATTCCGGCCTCGGAGTGGGAATCCCACAGACCAACGATTCAGCGCTTGTACATGCGGGACGACAAGCCCCTGACAGCTTCGGGTGGATTATTAGAGACCATGCTGAATGAGTATGGTTTCTCAGCAACGTAAGCACATGACAGTCGAAATTATCCAGGCCCAGAGTAGGATGTTGACTTGAGAACAGCAAAGCGCAGTACGAAACAAGGCTGAAAAAATGGCACATGCGCAAATACCGATCTGAACGTCGTCGGCGCGCTCATGATTCTATTTCAGCAGGTATTGCGATTAGGCCTCGTTCTCCGCAACCATTCGCTCAAGAAGCTGCTTCCCTTGGTCTCATCTCATCTGTGTCCCCTCCATCAGGCTACGCGAAAGAATGGCGGAGCTGCAAATCATCCCCTTTGACGATTTTCACGTTGCAGTCTCACATGCCATCCCAAGAGGATGGGCTTTTCTCGATCCAACATTCAGGGGCCAATGATCCGGTCGACTACTCATGGTACACACAACTAAACGAAACCATCACTCCAACGGTATTAAGAGGCTCCAGTGGCTTTGAGCCTCATGAAGAGCCCCAAATGCGACCCCGTTTTCCGTGCGACTGGACTGCTGGTGACTCCTATATGGGAAAAGATGATAGATTCTCAACGAACAATCATTTCCCTGGCCGTCTATGCAACCCAGGAAGCTCCTCGAACACTCATTCTGCATCTTTCGCAACATTGATCATGCCGATCATCTCGCGCATGCTCTCAGGATCTGGATCGTTAGCTTCTATGATCCCCATGGGAGTTGGCATTGTACTGGAGTCTGCAATCTTAAACACAACTCATCCAGGCGCATCCCAGATTCTCAAACGACAAACTATCGATCATCAGTTCGTTTACCTGATATTTCATCGATTAATCAACGGAGGAAATGTGGTTCAGGCGCTCCTTGAGCCGAAGACAAAGCTTGACCATTTTTTCAATATGGGCATAAGATTTTGTTTTTCTCTAGACAGAAATGCTCTTAACACTGTCATCACCTCTACGCCATCGCCTTACAATCTGGCTCTAATACAGAACCTATTTCGTGTGGCGCTGATAACGGGGCATGAACTGGTTTTAAGTGTCGTTATAAATACGCGTCAAGAGAGTCTCGTCAATCGCCCTGTCATTATGGGAGACGCACTGTACTACCCTATGGAATACACAAGCCTCCACGGTCACATTCAAGCAACTCGGGTTCTTCTCAATCACGGCGCTGATCCTAATCGGCGGACCTATGGTGACTTTTTCAACCGCATCGGCAAGCTGCCATATACCCAGCAGAGCAGTCCCAACACTCGTGTCCAAATCTTGAGATCCTTGATAGATCATGGCTTGAAATTGAATCCTCACCCAAATTTGTTTCAAGGCGGCTGCGACCGGGATGAGTTGCTGCTGTTAGCCACCCATTACTTGGACAAGAGTTTTGAGATGTTCTTCCGTTTGCGCGCTTTACCACGAGTTCTATCACGAGAGGACTGGGACGACTCTCTATCTCAGGTACTGAGAAAGATTCTCAATCGGGCGCACTCTAAGAACAACATCGATTGCACCATTTGGGCTACAACATTGTCAGAGTCACTGTCTTGTGCAGTGCTGCGCAGTCATACCTCTGCAGTCGAGGTCTTGCTGGCAATGGGTGCAAAACCTGGTGTGAATTGTTTGATAAGTGCTGCCCGGAGCAATAATCTGAAGATCCTGGAAGACTCACTGGATCTTGGTCTAAACCCTAATGCCAGGAGATTGAGACCGTTCGCCAAAACGCCACACAACCATCACTTCTATGATGATCCGGACTCTGCGCAGCTCTACAATTGTACTGCGCTGAGTGAATCAATCAGAAATCCTTCGAGTAGAGCATTCAATCTACTTCAAGCACGAGGATTTGTCCTGCAATTAGCTAACCAACCGACCGGCCTGTCCTCAGCCCTGAAAGCAGCGTGCGAAGTCGGTGATAGCACGCTTGTGGACCAGCTTCTCTCATTGTGTATCGTTCCACAGTGCCTCCTGGACATTGAGGAAGCTTTTTACGTTGCCGTCGAGAATAATCATCAACATGTTATCAAACAGCTGCTGCATGTCGGTATCAAACCTACCCTATATTGTTTGAGAACGGCAATCGAAAGCAGGCACCTAGCAATCCTCGAGCTACTAGCCGAAGTCATGGACATATCCTCTCTTCCGTGGTCACAGGAGTCAACTGGTAAGATCATCATATTTGAAGCTATACGTTGGGGCGACCAAGCAGCTATCGAGCATGTGCTTCGGATGGGACATCCTATCAACATACTGAAGGAACTTAAGGATAGTCACCTGGCAGACTGGAACATACGCTCAAGCCTGCGACTGCCTGGGGATGCTCAATGCTGGGCTCTGACCCCTTTGAGTGCTGCTGTGTTGCAGGGAAATTCAAAAGCAGTTCGAGCTTTGATGGCCCACGGTGCACAAGTCGTGTTGTCAATTCTGGCACAAAGCCTTCCTGCATCTGATGGGATCACTCCAACGCCACTCACTCCGCTCGCTGCTGCTGCTATTCGCCATGACATCGCTTCGATCAAAGAGTTCTTGCGTATGGGCGCAGACCCTTTCGACAACGGCGCTCTTTTCGTATGTGCAGCACTGAGCCTGGAACCTATCATAACATTGGTGCTTTCTGCGTTCAGGAGTAGATATCCAGAAGGAACGAGAGCTTTTGGTCCAGAGGCACTGTGTTGTTCCATCAGAAACAACAACACACGGCTGGTTGGACTCCTTGCCAAAGACACGGACATATTTGGCCACATTTTGATGAAAGAAGCTCGCGACCGTGACGATCCCGTCCCTTACCCGAGGCTTCCACCACCACCGCCACCACCCCGAGGTGTAAGTTCACGTTTCTTCACGAGCCCACTTGGTGAAGCGATACGACTTCACTCTATATGTAGCGGTACTGACGAGATGCTTGACCTTCTTTTGCCCTTGGTCAAAAATCTCAATGCCATCGTCTGTAAGAATCTTAAAAACGGCAACATGACTTGCTTAACGTACGCGATTGGTCTGGGTTCGTTGAAGACTGTTCAGAAGCTGCATCAAGTGGGCGCGAACATATCATTACCAGCCGAATGGGAAATACCGCGAACACCATTGCAGGCTGCGGCGCAAGCTGGAAGCGTAAATATCGTAAAGTACCTTTTGGGACAAGGTGTTAATCCAAATGAGGCTCCGGCAAAAAGAGCTGGAGGAACAGCACTGCAACTAGCAGCAGCCAAGGGGCACGTCGGCATCGCAGCAGCTCTTCTTGATGCAAATGCCGAAATCAACGCGAAGCCAGCCATGTTGGACGGCAGAACCGCCTTCGAAGGTGCTACTGAGCATGGACGTATCGAGATGATGCTGTTCCTGTTCCATCGTGGCGCCAATCTCCTTGCAGACGAGAGCAGACAGTACCGACGTGCTGTCCAGTTCGCCGAAGACAATCTACAGCACGCTGCAAAAGAGCTCGCCGACGAATTACATGCGAAAGCAATGGCAAGTGTTGGAACAAGCTACATCGGTATGGGTGAATGTGGTTGGACTGGATTCGACATGGACGACTTTACAGAGTTCCTTCCTTGAGCGGAGGGAGTGTATTCGATGCTGTCTCAATTCTCTACTCTTGTTTGCGTTCCTTCTCCCTTCGATATAGCACTCAAGTTGCTAGTATATACACAGTCCAGAGATAAAAACATGATTTTCAGTATCCAGGTATTTAGTGAATGGGTAATGCTCATGATCAATTCGTCGGAACCTACTGCTTTGCTGCTATCATTGATATGTATTGTCGATGCGTTGCGAGTTGCAGCTTCCCCGAAGCTGATGGCTGCGGGATAATTCCGCTAGCGCGAACGCGTAATTGAGAGGCTCAAGCACGCGATCACTGCGTGAGATTCACTTCGCGCCAGCCCACACGTCAACGACATGCCACCCCACAGTAGAGGGGAGTCTCTTCCTTCGGGATTCTACTCGAAATCCACGCCTAATTTGCCTACCTTGACGTCATTCGATGGGCAGAGTCGCGAGGACAGCACGGTAACATCCCCTCCACGCTCCGCGACTCGTCCAGGAGCAACTCCCCTCTCGCCAATATCGAATAGCGCTCTATCCGAGGCGGCGTCTGTAGAGGACAACCAAGATGAAGACGAGGATCCGTTCATGGTGGAGGACGTAGTCAGCGAAGATGAAGAGGACGAAGAGGAGCCAGCGCCTACGTCTCGACCACTACAGACATCCAAGTCGTATAGTCACCTCCCGCGACATACTGCGACAGCGCTGTTCCCACCCTTCTACAACAGGCCTCCGACCCCGCTACCGCCGTCTCCATCATTGACCTCGCTGCTTCGCCCCGCATTCAGCCGCCCTACCTCGAGACCTACGACCCCAGACTCGTCGGATGTAGAAGGATACACTAGAGCAGGCTCGCATACCACAGGTACAAGCACACCCACGAACCTCGCGAGCTCGGCGCGGCATGCGCCGACGGTACCCCGGGCCTCGCCGAAGGTGCCTACATACGAATACTATGGCTTTGCACTGTACCTAGGCAGCTCGGCCGCCTTCCTCATGTACATCCTGTGGGCATATGTACCAGCTCCGATGCTGCATCAGATGGGCATTCACTACTACCCGAACCGGTGGTGGGCGCTCGCGGTGCCGTGCTGGCTGGTGGTGCTAGTCATCTACATCTACGTTGCCCTTGCAAGCTACAACACGCGCTACCTCACACTACCGCTGAGCAGCTGCGAGAACCTCGTCGATGAATGCGCACAGATAGCCGTTGTCGATCGCATGACTGGGCAGATAGCACGCGACCCGGTGCTAGTCACAGACAAGCTACACGACAAGAACAAGGAAAAGGGCACTAGAGCCAGTGCACCTCCCAGCCGACGAAGCTCTTTCTCGGCATATCAATTTAGCGCACAAGATGAAGTGGACTGGAAGGGGTTCTGGAGCACGGGAACAGATGCCGTGATGGATGTGCCAATTGGTGGCGTCTGCGAGATACTCTACGGCCGCGACAGATGAATAACGTATCGTCATTCTGACTACTACTTATTCAGCGCGACTGTCATTCTCGGCCAAAGATACCTTGTGCGCGGAAAAAGCTTGTCGCGGGCAGTGGGTCGCTCTAACCCCCACTTACACCTGCCCCTCCCGAACTGCGAGATTCGGAAAGAACCATGCTTGTCAGGCAAGCGCCCCGCTACATCATGAGCTGTTTAATCTTCGGATTGGGCGGATGGCTCCTGCTATCTAGCTGCTGTAGCTTAATCCCGAGCTTGGTTTACTTACTCAGCGGGGCATGCAGCGAGATAGCTGGTATAAGTCCTTCCTGACGTCCGCCTTTACTCTTTCCCCATCCCACCTCTGCTCGTGAGATTCGCCGCTTTGCCCTGGGTTCAATTGCTCCACTCGCTTTCTTGAACAGCTTCCTTCGTTGACAAGCGTTCAATTGCCAATCATGAAGTCTGTCGTCGCGCTTTCCGCGCTCTCCATGCTCGCTGGTGCCGAGGCAGCTGAGACCGTTCTTGGAGCTTACATCTTCCACCGCCATGGCGACCGTACACCAAAGGCTCTTGCTCCTACCAACTTGACTGCTCTTGGTTACGAACAGGTCTACACATCCGGCCAGTACTACCGCTCACGCTACCTGTCCGGCGATTCCAAGATCCACGGTATCAACGAGGATGAAGTCAAGCTCTCCCAGCTTCAGGTCCAAGCTCCCGTCGACAATGTGCTCCAGAACTCGGCTATGGGTTTCCTCCAGGGACTCTACCCTCCTGTCCAGACAGTCCAGACTCTTGCCAATGGCCAGAGTGTACAAGCGCCAATGGACGGCTACCAGCTCATCCCAGTCAACACCATCGAGACCGGCTCCGGCTCTGAGGACAATGGCTGGCTGCAGGATGCGTCGAGCTGCCAGAACGCAAAGACCAGCTCAAACTCCTACTTCGACAGTGAGGCGTACAAGAGCCTTGCGTCCAGCTCCAAGGACTTCTACTCTTCCATTGTTCCCTCAATGAACGGCGTGGTCAGCGATGAGCAGGTGTCTTTCAAGAACGCCTACGTCGGTATGTCTCGTCCCAATCCTCATGTATAAGCCAAACTAACATGAACAGTCTACGACACCATCCACGTAGCCGAAATCCACAACTCCAGCATCCCCAACTCCGACGCCCTGACCAACACCACCCTCACCCAGCTTCGCACTCTCGCCGACGCCCACGAGTGGGGTCTCGCCTACAACGCCAGCGACAACATGCGCGCAGTCGCCGGCATGCAACTCGCCGGAGAAGTCCTCGAATACATGAACAACATCATCAGCACCTCTGGCTCCAAGAAGTTCGGCATCCAATTCGGCGCCTACGCGACTTTCATGTCCTTCTTCGGTCTTGCCGATCTGCAAAAGGTCAGCGACGACTTCACCGGCGTTGTCGACTATGCTAGCTCCATGGCCTTTGAGCTCTTCACCAACGCAAATGTTGACTCTGGTTTCCCCAACGGAGATGACCTGCAAGTCCGCTTCCTGTTCCACAACGGCACGGCTAGCAACACCAGTGAACCCACCGTCTTCCCTCTCTTCGGCGGTAGCGAGAACGCTGTCTCGTGGACCACTTTCCAGGATAAGCTGAATGAGTTTGCTATTACGACTACTGAGCAGTGGTGCACCAAGTGTGGTAACACTGCTGGTTCTTGCGCTGCGTTTGTTAAGGACAACGGCGCTACTACTGCGCAGCAGAGTGGAAATGGTAGCAGTGATATCTCGCCTGCTGTTGGCGGTGTCATCGGCGCTTTTGTTACGCTGGCTGTTGTTTTGGGCTCGCTCGCGGCGCTTATGCTGGTTGGTGGATTCAGGCTTGTTAGCAAGAAGGCGCTTCAGAAGGGTGTTGCGCAGAGTAGTGTTGAGCCTAAGGCTTAGGGTCTGCTTGGGTGAGACGGCGTGTTGTATGGTATTGAAACGAAGGATGGAGAATTTTACATCAGTTTCTGGACGTGGTATGGTATGAAAAAAGGAACGAACAAGAGGTGTCACGATGTGTATGAGATCAACGAATGAATGAGAACGCTGAAGAGTATATTGTCAAAGTCTTAGTCTAGGTCCTTCAAGAGATAGATGGTCGGCATTCACTGTCTGTCTACATCTTGAAGAACCTAGGCTAAGACTTTGGCAATGTATTCTCCGTTCATCTCTTCATTCCACTGTATACTTGCAATACGGGTATAACATGTCCCAGCCTATGACCCAGATCCCTTTTACCCACCCTCCCAAACGCCAGCAAATGCATGAAGTCATCTATGTCATAACGCGAAGTGAAGGAAGGGTCCCTCCTCCCTAAACCTTCAACACACTAAACCTATCCTGCGGCTTAACCTTCGGTGCTCCCAGGCCTTTCCTAACCTCATCCAACTGCTCCATGCCACTCTGCTGCTTCCCCTTCTTAACCCTCCTCCCACTCTTGCCCGCCGTATGGTGGCTCCCTAGGAAATCATCCATGATACTGTCGAAATCGCCCCGTAGCGGCGGCGCCTCACTACTCGACCACCCACTCATGCCACTCATCTTGCTCATGCCGCTCATCTTTGACATACCGCTGACCATTGAAGCAGAGTCGTCGTAGCCGTAGTCGTCTTCAGGGAAACCATCGTCGTCAGCGTATTCCTCTTCGATCTTGTCGAAGCGCTGGTCGAGCAGTGTGAGGCCTTCTGTGCGGTGGAGCGCGGAGGAAGACATGGAGTATCCGGACGTGGATGTTTTGGCGCCTTTGCGCTTCTTGCGGCGGCCGCCGGCTGTTAGGGCTGAGGCGCCTGTTATGAAGGATTGGTTGTCTGTTGCGGCTGCGGTGCCGTTTCGAGGGTTGCCGGGAGTGGGTTTAGCGGCTTTGACGTCCTGTTTGAACTTTTTGAATTCGTCGAGGTAGGCCATGTCTGCTGCGTCGGCGGGGGCGGGCGCTTCATCTGGGGCGGGGAGGGAGGATGGGTCTGTGGGGTCGTTGTTGGAAGGTCTCTGAGCGCGCAGCTTAGGGGATGAGGCTTTGATTGTATCGTCGGTTTCCCAACCTGGGTCTTCTTCTGAGAGGAAGCGGTCCATGGGGTCTCTATCGTCGGTCTCGTCATCGAAGAGGTCAGCGCTGTCCCATTCTCGTTGGTCGACTTCGAAGCCGTCTTGGGCGAGTTCGTTGAAGATGTCCTCGTCGTCCTCGACGTAGGCTTCGTCCTCGAGCGCCTCGAGCACTTCGCGTAGGCGCGGGTCCATGTCTGGTTGGAAACCCTTGAGGGCATCGGGGATGTTCTGCTGGTCTTGGTAGGTTGTCTTGCGCACGAACTCTGAGGGCGCCATGTCTTCTCCGAATAGCTCGCTTGCGCTGCTGATGTTGCTGCTCACGCTGAGATCGGCCTGGCTTCTGCTGTCACTCAGCGATGCGTCGCGCAGCATGTCTGCCAAATCCATCTTTTGCTTTCCCTTCTTCTCCGCCTTGGGCTCGATGAAGTAGGAGTCGCCGCTGCCCGAGCCCAGGTCGCGCATGTGCTGCATATAGTCGTACTCGGTGTCGTCGTAGTAGATGCCGTAGTTGGCGGCT